GTAATCCGTATTACTGCGTCTATTCGTCAGGTTTCAAGCAACACGGACATGGTAGTGCGTGGTACACCGATGAAACGAAACCGCATTGATTGCATGCTCCGAAAACGGACGCGACAGTGCATCGGCGATTACATTTAGGGATCCCTTAACGTGAAGCAACTTTAACGTAAGCTGTGCCAGATACGTCAAATATCTAGCAAATTTAGCTGAAACCTTCGGGTGGTGCAAAGCCCACATGTAAGCACTGTTGTCCGTGTAGATATCGAATTTACAACCATGTTGTGGAAGAGCCGAGTGTACACTTGGGACGTTTTTCCGGTCGTTAGTACATACCAAACCGGCAAATAAACCTCCGAAATAGAGTCGTACAGCATCACAACTATCAATTGGTAGAAGGGTGTCGGTTGTCACCGGTAGGTAGCATCGACAAAAATTGAGCTCTGGCGCTCCTTCATACGATCCATGAGATGAGGGTGGAATCAGCCAGCCAGCCGATGTTGCACTTCGTCTTCAGTAGTAAATCACGTCAAATCGGAAAAACTTCAATTAGGTACTTTCTTTGACGTCGCAAAGTGGCTCGCTCTAGGCGACCAAAATTCGCCCACCCAAAAGCTTTGGCTCTGATACGGTACAGTCGACCCAAAATTTGTCTTTGAGCTGCCCCCATGGCTATTTCCTTGCTGTCGCCGTAGAATTGGTCCCGTGCTGTGCGCCACACTTCCGTGGGGGTCAGGGTGACGATCCGGACACAAAATGTATCCATCACCAGCATAATTTCCTCCAGGAGATCGGTGATGGTGGGAGATGATCCGGCTGGAGCTCGACAAAAGCCAGGGACACAATTTTTAGTATGGTGGCCAGTCTCAATGGCGCCGAGGTCACTCACATAGACTTTCACCTTGCATTTTGTGCGCCGATACGCACTGCATCGATAGTGAGGGGTACCTTCGTTAAAATGGTACCGAGCGTAGGAATACCCACGAAAATGGACACTGGATGTCCCCAAAAGTCGAAACAAGAAGGTGACCAGAAACGCCTTCGACTTGAGGTCCCCGTTCGACTTGGAGACCGTCACTCTCTTCTCCCTCGGAGATTGATGATTGGCTGGGAATGAAAATCGTTTCGTCTGACGGCGCGTCGTTTAAATCAGGTTTGTCGACCCGGAAGAAGCTGGACATAGAGCTGGCGGAGACGTACGTGGTGTGCATGGTACTTGGTTGGAAGAGTGTTGGGAAGGTGTCGTGAGCTTGGCAAATTCTGAAATGATCCCTTTGGCTTGTCAAATGTATCGTTGATTTGAACGGCACTTCAGTTGCGATAGCACGGTACGACTTAGTGAACGACCATGCAGCCCAACGTAGGTACGATGAAAATCTGAGGGACCGCTATACGATCCAACAGTCGCTTACATACAAATCAGAGCAAGGTACGGGAGTTTTTTGTAATGTTATTTTGCTATGTAGCTATGGTAACCTGATGATAGTGATAATGCTTCTTAAAAATTGACCCTGAAAGTGGTTAGTATCATTTTGATCCCAATTTGACCCAAAAAACGTGTTGACACAATTTTGACCTGCGCAGCCGTTACCCCATAGAAAAGTTTATCATTGGTACCGGTTGTTTGTTCACCGGTTTTCTAACCTTTTTTTTTTAAATTCACCGTGTGTAGATCACACTTATCGCTGCCGAGCGCAGCGAAGGTGGTTCCGATTGGCCAAAATGCAGACAAATGCAGCGCAAATCTGGCAGCCTGCGACATTGACAGAATCCATCAGACCAGCAGACTCTCTCTTGATAAAGATGGACATATACCATTTATGCAGTGACAACGAAGCATATGGATTGGATGGAGCCCGCAAACCATGGCTATCTGATTTTACGATAAATTTATTTCGCAGCTCAAAACATGCTATTTGCAATTCAAATCATGCACGGTAATCGCCTATTTGCTTAAGATCTAAAAATATGACATTCATGCGCTTTCGTAAGGCAGCAATACAAGCTGGAGGTCATGCGTAAGGCAGCGGTCTTACGATTTCTAAGAATGATAAAAAGCATTGCTCAGGTTTCTATTGGCTAATCACTGGGGTGGGCATCAGCGGCCTTTGTATGGACAGCGTAAGAAATCTGCCTTACGTAGAAATCGGTGATATCATTGGCAGAAACGCGCTCGGTGAGCTCACACGGAATCGCTAGTGATCAGCGCCAGGAAGTGGACGCACCTGGCCAAGAGAGATTAGATGGGGATGGAGTTTGAGCACGATGCATTTCTGACGGCACCATATCCCGATACCGCAGCTATCTAAAAGGAATTCGCCAGTGGGTGTTGGCAAACAAAAGCATAGCCAACCCTCAACGCATCTTCGACGCGTCCGGAAATCTCGACCCGAGGAAGTTCAAGGCCAAGGACTTTGAGGCGTTCCTCGTCGACAAGCAAGATAAACTGACGACTGGTACCCTCGGAGGGTATAGGAGCGCAATGAAGGATCTGTATCGACGCCACCAGTTGCCCCTCCCAAGCGAGTACGGCGAGAAAATGACAACGCTTTTTCTGGTCTAAAGCGCTTAGAGGCTGATCGTGACCAAACCGGTCAAGGACGCGAATCTGGCAAACGGCCACTTACATATTCACGATACGTAGCGGTGTGCAAGTCGACTCTAGCTCGGGATGATGGTGGGTTTGCCCATTTATTCCTGACAACGCAGTGGAACCTAATGTGCCGATCAAAATCTGTGGAGACTATCCAAACCTCGCACTTGGTGGGTGTCGACGACAACATCGGCATTGTGCTACACAAAACGAAAACCAACCAAGAAGGTAGCGACCCTAAAGATCCACGACATATCTACGCTAATCCTGGGTCGCCTGTGACGTGCTGGCTGACTACGTTAGGGGTTTATTTAGCGTGTCACCCACGGCTTCAACCCGGTGCCCTTTTTCCAGGCTCTAATCAGAAACTACGGCTCGGTAAGGCGCTATCACAGTGCCTCAAGGATGACTCTGATGCAAAATTCCTCGGTACACACTCAATTCGCAAAGGAGTGGCATCATATGCATCGGGTGGCTCCACTGGTGGCTCCTCCATCGTAAGTATCTGTCTTCGCTGTGGTTGGTCCCTTGGAAGTGTCCAAGACAGATATTTTCGCTATGAAAGTGCAGGGGACCAGTATCTCGGCCGTGTTGTAGCAGGCCTACCGCTTAACAGCAGTAAATTTTCCTCGTTACCGCCTCATTTCGTCGGCCCCAGTTACAGCCAGGCTGATGAGTGTGCTCGACGGATGTTCCCCTCTCTTGCTGCTGACGGGAAGCTAGGACAAACTCTGCAGTTGTGTGTCGCTGCACTAGTGAGCCACGCGGATTTTCTTCGACAGCAACTACCTTCTAACCACGCGCTGCTCTCAACATTTTTATTCAGAGACGACTCCGTAATGACTAGCCTGAAGCAGCAGGTTATAACGTCCAACTCGCCTTGGATGCAATCCACTGGTATCCCACCTCATATTGAGATTTATAAACAATTGGAGGACCTACGCGAGTCAATTAAACAATTATCGGAAACTTTGCTCAGTGGAGTTGAAATTTTGCTCGATAAAAAGGGTGTTGCGGCCGGTAATATCACGCGGGACGTGTTAGCACAAACAATACGCCAGCTACTTGCAGATGCTGGCATAGGTGTGCCATGTTCAGCAACTCAGCCCACAAAGTCTCCTTCAGAAAACAGTCAAAATGTACACTTCTGGGGCGGCAAGTTCCATTTCCTACCAGCTGAAATTGAGTTTCCCAGCACAGACCCGCTCACGGCGTGGATGTTATGGTGGTTCGGAAACAAAACGCTAGGATACTCACCGCTTTACCGAATAACAAGCCGTGATCTGTCAAGCCGGCAAAAAGCCAACACGCTTTCAGAATGGAAAATGTTCGTACACCATATCACGGTTGAGATCGAAAAAGCGACTGGGTCTGCAATAACGAAGATGCACACAGAGACAGAGGCTGAGAAGTTATTCGCACAAGGCATGGACAGATTCAAGTTTCTCCCCACCATTCGGGCTCGAAGGAACAGGCAGCTTAAGGTGAGTACCCTCACTCGCCTTATACGTGGAGCGATGAAAGCAGACAATCCGAACGCACTGTCAGAACCTTTTCGAAAGCGCAAGCGCGCCAAGCGGAGTGACCCGACGGTAGGATAGGATGCGGGGTGCCAAGACATCTTACCTTGCACGTGGGGCAGCAGTTGCAGGCCTTCTAGTGTTTTATGATCAAGTTACCCACCGACGCCACTTATCGCATGTATTTTAACCAACCAACACACATCTCTATATCGTCAGAAAACTGCCTTACGATTTCTCCTCACAATTCATTGTGCATTCGCGGTCTTGAAAACCCCACGTGAACTCTTTCTACTAGTGTAGTTAGGAAGCTCCTACAACGTAAGTCGCGGGTAGGTCTTTTACGAGGGCACCAAGTGTTCAACACCCGGTTGGAAGAATATATGGGATGCAATACAAGTACTTGCAGCCGTATAGAATATATGGGATGCAATACAAGTACTTGAAGCTTTAGTGCTTCACAAAACGAACGCCCCTCTCACTGCCGACTGGCCAAAGTCGATACCGCAGCGAAGCATTTTGAATTACATGCAGCTTCACGAATGTGTTTATGCACTGATTCTTGGTGAGACCCAGAAGTAACGTACGGTAAGAAGCTACTACCACGTGATGTTCCTGCATACAAGTATTCACTTGTTTTGACATGTGTATTGCCGTGTATACAGCCTGTACCGGTCCATTGCCATCACTTTATGCTGTCGGTCCAGCCACAAATCCGACTGCACTACATGCCATTATGTGTACGATCTACCGCAGGATAAAATATTGCTTATGCTGTCTATACCGAATTTCATCATACGGTCACGTGACATATTTTCTATGCCATACTTAATGCTGCAGGTTAGAGAAACGTATTCAGTTAAATATTCACTTCTCTTTTTACCGACAACCCAATCGGGTGACCATCTCCCCCCGTTCTACCCCACATCGTATTAATTACGGCTCTACCAGGAAATGCCCCCCTTCCCCCGTGTGTTAGAGGCCATACTACCAATACGCGTTGGTGAGCCCCTCGGAACTCGGCGAGGTGGTTGGAAGAAAGAGATAATGCTCGATGTACAAGACGGATACGCCGTATTTCGAGAGAAGTGCCTCGCAAAGCTTACGGCGCTTGTGGAGAGCGGTGAAGCTGGTAAACGGCGTGTTGAGCTGCAGGAGGACTTGGACATCTATCTAAAGCTGGCAACCCCCCCCCCCAAGCAAGCCGACTACACGAAACCGGACGCTGGCAATTTTGCTCTCTCGCTAGTGCGACGCAGGCGTCTTTTGACACCGGCAGACAAGACGAACATCGGTGCGTTCTGGTTCGAAGCATTCCTGTATGTAAATAGTATGGCGCCACCTCCGCCAAACTTTCATCGCGCAACACAAGGTCGCGTAGAGCAGGCGCGCCTGCAAAGAATTGCCCATGAGGCTACTAACGTAGTACAGTTTGGCCAAAAACAGCACATCATTTGGACATTGTGAATGCCCGCCGAGATGACTATACTCCCTTCGGGGCCCCGACAGACAATACGACAGCACAGGCACTTGAGCTTGACCGGTAACGCGCTGCACTCGATGCCGACGTCACTGCTCGAGACCAGCTCCGAAACAGGCGAAAGGATCCGATGCTGATTAAGTTGAATGTGTCTGGTTCTCAATGGAAGTGGACGTTGTATCAATGCGGCGTGTTGTTGGTCTTCCTGATCATAACACTCTTACTGCATGTTCTATCACGGAGTGCCCGACATCACACCTACCAATCCAAACCTGGACGATGTTGACCATCCTGACACGAAAGACGGGCAAGGAAATGAGAAAGATGAGACCAACCAACTTGATGTAGACATGCTTGCTTAAACACAACAAAACCAATGTATTACTGTATTTAGCTACTCGTATTAATCAAATTGCCAAATGTTTCCTCGCGCAGCGATGTCCCTAAGTAACCACAATGTTGGAACGTCCCAAAACAGCCATTTTGATCTCGCTTAGTATAGTTAAGCATCGCCACCTCCAAAATATGTTGAGGGTATTGAGGAAAAACAAGTTTGCTTGTCTTTGGATCCATCGTTTAAGCAAGCCGAGACAAGGCTCGATTGGGTTGAGCTGGGGACACTAAGGTGGTAAGAAAGCAAACGTGCACCACAAAAATGTACTACTTCCTGGAGCTCTGGATACGCATGGGTTTTTGCGTTATCCGTTATCACGATTGAGCGCGGAAGCGGCCACGGGTTAAGATGAGGAACAACATGCTTGAGAAAAGCTGCGTGAAATGTTCGTCTCGTAAAGTACCTTCAGTCCACTCCCACCCAAAAAATCCTCCGATATCACGAGCAGCCATAATTGAAAGCCTCTTTCCTCTTCTGAAAGGAAGCCGAATGACAGCAGGTGTATTGCGTAGTGATCATCCGTATGATAAGGCCTTTCTGCTCAGATTGAGGTGGAAGTTTGAAACACAGCAAATAGTCGAACTCGAAACGACTGACACATCGGGAAAGCGTTTTGTAACATAGTCTTGCAGCTCTTCGATGTAGAGCCTAGGATGCAGCTCCACATAGGCCTGCACTGCTTTGAGCACCTCAGGTGGCCAGCGTACATGCTTTTTTGCACACCTTCTTCTCGTTTACAACGCCGTCGTGTAGGAACAGAGTGTACCACCGTTGAATT